TTACCCAGACATCTCTCTGGGTCTGTGAGCTGCACCAGTGAAGCTGCTTGGCTTCTGCATGGGTGAGTGGATGCTGTCCTGATCTTCTGCCCTTCAGATCAGCGAGGCTTTCCTCACTGCCCCAACGCCTTTTGTCCTTTCTGGCTGCCCAGACCTGCTCAAAGCAGTTAACCACAATCACTGAAACTAATCTCAACTGCTGTCCGAGGCAGCTAAACAAGCCCTTTGGTTGCAAAGGGCAGTAGTTGGTTTTATTGCTGAAATCTAAGCGGGGCAGCTGGGCATGAGAGTGCAGCACCATCTCGCCACAGACAGCATCTGCGTGCTTGGGTCCCTGGGAATGGGCGCGTGCGTTTGGGAGGGGAGATGGCCTCCTGCCCTGCTGTTGAGCCAAGAGCCTTTGCTGGTGCTTTTCAGCTGCCCCTGGGCTCTTGCGGTGTGAGATCCTCTGCTGCGCGCTGTGGAAACAAAATGGGCTGAAAGTTTCCCCGTGAGATGCGGAGCAATGCCACAAGCGGAGGGCAGCGTGCTGGGCAGCCTTACTGGGGAGCCCTCCCCTGCTGCCCAGACACAAGCTCGTTAATTAAGGGCTCTCGGCTCTTCTTGCCTCCTGCTGCTAAGCTCCCCTGGGTTTCAAGGCGCTGGTCTGAAATGCTGCTGGTTGCTCGGTGTGGGGCGTGCTCCCCTCTCCTTTTCTCTGCAGGGGACGCGTGGCTGAGCCGTAAGTGCATCGTTTCTTCCTCCCCACAGCGGTGGGTGACCGAGGCACTGAGCCAGGCTGTTGTGCCGGGCTGCAAAGGAGCTGAGCTGGCGAACCCGTGAGTCCTTAGACCTACAGCATTTCATACTGGGCTTGGGGTGCAGGGCTGGCACCAAGCGAAATGGGTTGTAGCCACCCACGCTAGTTACTGCCTTTGGGACTCAGGAAACAAGCGTGTGTTCCATGGCTTTTTTTATCGCTGGTGCATGGGAGACACAGGACGGAGCCCACAATGGGTTTTTCCCTGCGCTCTGCTGTTGGGGAGCACAGCCCAGCAGCCCCCTCTGGCCCGGGGCCTCCTGGGGATTTAACCTCCCAGTCCTGGCACCTCCCCAGGAGCAGCTTTATCTGGGGAAGCAGGTTTGGGGATTCAGCTGCTGCATTTGTCTGCCACAGGAGCACGTTACAGAGGGATGAAGGACTTCGCTTTTGTGGGGAAGCTGAGGCATCAGGGAGGTTTTGGGACATGCTGTCTCACCAGAGGTTTGCTGGTTGTCGCTGTCTGATCCTGCTGGGGTCAACAGGAGTTACAGCCCTGGCTGCAGGGATGAGGTGGTGTTTTTCTGGCTGGCAAGCAAGGAGAGATTGGCCACTTGCGCCTTGAAATCCACCCAAAAACCCAGGATGCTGTGGCCAGGTAGGTTTGTAAGATCTCCCCAGCGGAGAGCTATGAGGCTTCCTCTCCCATCCCTTGGAGCCCAGCCCTGCAGCCTTTTAAAGAAGCCCATAATTTTTATTTTGAATTTTTAAATGCCTAGATGTGGCAGTGCCCTGTGAACATATGGGCCTTTTTAGGGTAACACCAGCAAAAGCTGAGTCTAGTTTGATTTAGGCTGATCAGTCAGTGCTGTTGCCAAGCTGATCACATTGTCATACACCAAAAAAAAAGTTAGTGTGCCTGTATTAATACTCACTGCAACGGTCTGTCTAGGGAGTCAGAGCGAGCTGTCTGTATGCCAGCCTAACGGGTGAAAGAGCAGAAACACAGAGCACAGCCCAAGGAGAGCTGTAATAGCTGACCAGAAATGTTTGCCTTCAGGTCTTGAGGCTGAGCTCCGCACATGGTCCAGCCGCTACCGGGCACCATGGTGCCGTTGTCTCATGGGGATGCATGTGGAACGGGGGAGCTGGAAGTGTCCCAGCTGGGGCTCGCTGCTGCCGTGTCCCCCAGGCAGACCTCGCTGAGGGGCAGCGGGCACAGTGCCCCGTGCGGGTCCCTGCAGCACATCCCAGGGCATGGAGGTACCAGCCGTGGGTGCAAAGCAAGGGAACCAGCAGCGCTTTGTCCCTTGAAGGCAGCTTTCTGCCCCGGGCAGCCGCGCTGGGTGGGAGCATCTTCCTCGTGCCACGTGCAGGGTTAGGGGGCCAGGACAGCAAGGCTGGGCAGCTCTGCAGGTCTCCCCAAAACACCCTGCAACCCTGCCCAGGGGGACAGCCCTCAGGGGCCAGCTCCTCCTGAGCTGTCACCCTGCCCGCAGCCCAGGCAGGTGAATGCCCAGAAGGCTGTACAGCAGCTTCCCAACAAGCCTCAGTGTTACCCAGCACCCCGGAGCCCGTGTGATGGCACCAGCTGCTTGCGGGGAGGCCCCCGCGTTGCTCCCCAGGTACGGCTGTGATTAACACCGACGAGGCTGGATGCATCATTACTGCTGCTTTTCAGTGTCTACAAACTGTGCGGGGTTTTTGGTTTGTTTTGGTTTGGGGTTTTTTTACAGGTTATAAGGAACAAGGCAGCATTGCTACACACGGAGCTATTCTGACGTGGCAACTCAGACTACGTTCTTGCAAGAGCGCTTGGAAACTGGACTGGACTAAGCCAAGAAACACACTAAGGTAAGTCTGGCCATGTGTGGCGTTGTTTTTGGAACAGATCCCCTCCTCCACTTGTATTTCACATGCTACTTCGCTTTGCAATACCTCTGCATCCCGACAAGTTCTTATGTGCAGTATAGTGCTCAGCTAAACAAGCAAACAAACTTACTTAGCACCTACCTCTATTTGCAGAGTTAGAAAAAACAATGTTGGCTCTTATGGTAACACAAAATCTGACTTTTCTTTGGTCTGACCACTGTTGCAGGTTACCCAGTTGCTACTAGGGTGTGAGAAACTGCAGAACAGCTAGTTGTCTCTCTTATAACAGGACATTTAATCAAGCAGTTCAACTAGGTCCCACTGCTTCGTGTTGCTATAATCAGCTAACATCTTTTAATTCATTTAGATGTAGAAATGAAACACCCGACTTGATTTAAATTGTTGTGAACTAGATCTAGATAGGGTGAGAAATACAGAATTAATGATGTATGGTATCAGATTCTCTGTTGGAGTTGTTTCAGCCACTGGCTGGGTAACTAGAGTGTATTTTAAGTATCTCAGGGACTGGTAGTGTGAGAAACTACATACTCCCCTTTGACTGGGTCCGTGAGGGAGTCCTGAGCCGAACCAGGCAGATCAATAATGACAGGAATGAAAAAAATTGACGGAGCATGGGCTGGTCTTCTAAAAGCCAGGAAGGAGGAGCGCTGTGCTGTGCTGTGCTCTGCACGCTGCCTCAAGGCTCGAGGTGCGCAGCCGAGGAAGTTGATGGCAGTTGGTAACTGCTACTTGGGACAACGTGTGCTGGGCTGGGCACTCACCAAATTTTCTCTGTGCCTCACCAAACTGTAAAGATGGGCCTACCCCACCTGGCAGCCCCTTCACAGCCCCTCATCAGCTGAAGCCCTGCGTTTTGTCGCTCCCAACCTTAACCCCAACTGTAAATCCCACCATCCCTGAATCAGCTTTTGCTCTGGGTGTCACTCCGTGCACAACCGTACTTGGTCCTTTATGACAACTGGGGACCAAGAGGTCTGCATCCCAGCAGCCCTCGCGTGGTTCGAAACCTGTTTTCAAATTCCAAAGTCTTTGAACTCTTGCTTGGAAAAAAACTCCCTAATTTTTATAGAGACCAAGCTCGGGTTATTCGGGGCTTGGGTCACTCCCAGAGGAACCCTGAGGCCCTCGCCTGGCTGGGCTGTGCGACCACACTTGGCAAAGGAGGTTTGTGTAACAGGGTTGTACCCACTCATTCCTCCCGCCCTTCCCAAGTGTTACACACCGCCTTATAACCGCTTAACTGAAGAGCCTCTGGAGGCAGGTTTCTGCAAATAGGCTTCAGATTAGCAGATGATCAGCAGCGAACGCGACCCGTGCTGCTTGAGTTAACCTGAACACCTGCTTACCCAGGCTGGCATTAAATCGTCACACAACCGACAGACACATCCCAGCCTGCCAGCTCTGCGGGAGAGTTCGCTTCCTCCCTTACACCTTATTTCCCAAAGAAAGGAAAGATACATCCTTGGGCTAAGCAGGCATGAGTTTTCCCAGTCAGGGTTAAAAAGCCAGACAGAAAAGCTTTATTGATTATAGGAAGTTTTCCATAATTGTGGGAGATGGAAGCACCTTCTTCATTGCTCACATTATTTTACGGTACTTGGTAGAGTACGAGCGCCCTAGGAAAAGTATTTTAGTTCAAATCTGTGACACAGTATTTAATTCCAAGTAGAGCAACAAAGACATGGGCTATAGAGCACTGTTACTACATCACTCAAGAGACACAAAATATTATTTCCCAAACAAGGTCCTTTACACACCAATTCTTAATGTTTCTTTATCCAAGTCCTCCGTGGTCAGTGCATTCCAAACAGTTTCTCCTTCACCTTCGACAGCTCCAAATACCGATACAGTTTTGCAGAACGGGTTAGTTCAGGTGAGCAGTTGTACTTTAAATGATCACCAGTCGTAGCAGTAGCTCCCACCTCTGTATTTGTACTCCTCAGAGGTACGATATGCAGGCAGCTTTTGTGTTCAGTGGTTTAAAACAGGGCCAGACTTCATGTTCTTGTGTCGCGCAGTGCCTGCCGGGACAGGATGATTCTGTACCACGGCAACTTTCCCACGTTCAATAGGAGCCGAGACTGAGGGCTGCAGCCAGCCTGTGCCGGCCGCCTCTGGCAGCCTGTCTGCTGGCCAGGGTGAGCAGCAGCGTGATCCCCAAGCCTCACACCTGAGCCGTTCCAGACCGTGCCGGGATGGTGTGTCTCTTGGGCTGCTGCAAGTTTTGGAAACATTTAAAGTAACAAAATGAACAGGCACAGAGCTTACTTTTGTAACAATTTCTTTGTTGTACAGCTGAACTATTGTTCTCACAGATTTATGGAAATCTTACACACCTGAAAACTACCAAAATAAAAAAGACAGGTATCTAAAGGTGCACTGAACTCAGGAAGGCACCCAGCGACCACGTTCCCAAAAATAAATATTCTGCCTGGACCATCTTGCTCATAACGCTGGGTCTGTAGAGAACTGCAGTTTCGGCAGAGTCTCCAGTGCCGCTGGAGTTATTAAAATCGCTACCAGAGTATCACTTATGACAGAGAGGTATTCATCCTCCAAGGTGGTTGCAGCACGTTGCCCTTGAACGTTGTCTGTTACTTGTGCTTTGTCAGCAGATCTGCAGTAGCTCCTGGTAGCTCTCTCCTGTCTCCGAACACCCAGCAGATGTGCAGCGTTTCATTTGAACTGGTTATCAATCAGGGTTCCTTTCATCTTGGCTTTCTTGGCTTCCAACTCAGCCTGATTAAGAAAATTAATATGAATGAAAATGAATGAAATGATGTCTGGATACGTTTCCCTTGAGTGCTCCAACGAAGTTAGGTCTTGTCTGACCACTGAAAGCTTTTCACACCAGGAGCAAAAGTAGCTCAAGTTCCTTGGTGACTCCCTCCTCCCCTGAGGTACAACACAAAGACCACCTTTAAAATCATAAAAAGCCCAAGACTAACTGCAGAGTAGACAATCCCATACTTTCTATCCACAGGTCAAGCTGCACATTTCCCCCTCTCCTATCCACCACTCTCCTGTCACAGCACGTAAGATCAGCTGTGATGTTCTTGCCATTAATTCTTCTAGAGACCCCTCTGGTAGCAGCTGAGCTGGCAGGTCCTCCACAAGGGCCTTAGCGTGCCCTGACGCCTCGTGGCAAAGACCTGCTCTGCCAGGCAGGATTGAGAGCACAGCATCGGGGGTGCTCTGGTTGGCAAAGCCATGGCCTGGTTTCCCCTTCCCTTGTTCCTTGTCCAACAGGTCATGGAAATCTCCCTGCAAAAGCTCTGCTGGCTGCTCTTCAGTGAGCTCTGTATGTAATTGCATACGATTTTAAGTTCAGGGGGACTAGAAGAACATTTCTGTAAAACCTGTAAAGGAAGAGCCATCCTCACAAAGCTACAAGTCAGCTATGACCGTACCAGGACCTCTCTATACTCCCAGTCCAATCGGCAGGACAGCTTTTGTGCACAAAGCCAACAGATCTCGGGGATTTGCATTCAACACCGAAGGAAACACTCACCAACTCCTGCAGCCTTCTTTTGCTCATGCCTTTGCGTTCCAGCTGTTTCTCAATCACTTTTGCATTCTGTGCATAGGAGTCTGCAATCTCCCTCTGAAACACACACAACATCACTTTGCAACAGCGAACCCCAAAGGAACAACACATCCAAACGGTGAGACCATCGCTGGCTCCGGTCAGCGTCCGGGACAGCTGCCCAGTTCAGACGTGGCTGCCACTAAGGGCGGGCAAAACTCACCGCTTCAATCTCCTCCTCCTCTTCATCAATTGTGGAGACCGTGACAGAACTGAACTTGCCCATGTCTTTGGTCCGCTTGGTCATCATCACCTGGGTGAGCAGCGGAATATCTTGTTAAACCTTGGCGGCAGTTGTGCCACTAGGGATCACTTCCCCCTCCAAAGCTTTTAAGGCTTCTCATGCAAGTCATTAAGATTTCCTGAACTCCGTGGGCGGCAAAGAAGAATTATCCCCCATGATTTCTGGGCTTAGAGCTGTCGTTATGAGAAGCAAACTCACTGATACGTAACAGATGAGCCTGACTTTGAAAATCACTGTGCAGACTACCAGTGTGACCTACTTACAAATGGAAACTTTCTGGCAACTGAGCCTAAACATCAGGCACCATCTAGATTTCCAAGCTTATTTTTTGCTTCCCTTTAGTGCTAGGACTCTGAGCTGCAATGATCTCTGTAAAGGAAAACTCAAGGCAAATAGGGAGAAGACACCAAACTGAGTTACTGTTTAGAGGTCCTTTGCTTTCTTTTTTCTCCCCTCTGCCCCGCCGCCCCCTTAAGTGATTTGACACACCACACCTTTTTGAAATGCAGACACAGCCTTTTTACTCCTCTAAAGCCGATTACCTTTTTGGGAGGTTCTTGTTTCTGGGTATATATGTTTGTTTTCCCAAAACCCTGGCCAAATTTGACCACAGCACCGTCAACAATGAACGTCACGGGAGCATTTTTCTGTTGGTGTTGATAAAAAAGCAGCAGGCCACACCTGGAAACAGGAACATACGTAGCTGTGAGGAAACCCAGATTCTGGATTCCTTACGGCTACCTCGCAGATTCTAAAAGGGCCCACAGAGCCGCCGCGGTCACTCACTTGCCACACTTTTTCCTGAACTGCCGCTCGATGCCTTCTGGTCTGGGGGAGAGAGGAAGAGCTTAAGAGGAGGGTGCAGACAGTGGGCAGTGCTGCCTGGCTGCTGGACCCCAGCTGGGTGAGGAGGCGAGGCCAGACCAGGGCAGCCCCTTCCCCGGGCCATGGAGGGGCTCTTGGAGGGTCTCTTAGAGGGGCGCGGGGGAGGGCAGAGGCCGGGGAGGGAGAACCTGCGCAGGAAGACGCTCTCCTCCTCCTCCGCGTTGCAGAACTTGTGGGCGTGCTTGGCGGCGTCCATCACCCGGGCGCGGTCCCGCGGTCGCATCGGCAACTTCTCCAGCTGGCAGTCT